TAACTTCATATATCTAATTTCACCATTGATATAGAGTAGAAACAGGTTTCAATGAATAAAACTGTGTAATGAATAAAGAATATCATTATTTTTTAATGATAGGTTTCAATGAATAAAACTGTGTAATGAATAAAGAATATCATAATATTATTTCATAGAAATGTAAAACCAGCGCAGTACAAAAGTGAGCTATTTTTTCGTTGGTATAAAAGTATTTTCTATCGCTATCAGTAAATTTAATCATAACAGTAATATATATATTAATAATAATATATATTATTATATATATATATTTTTTTGCAATAATAACTTTTTCTAATTCTCCAAGAATACGCACCGATGATTTCAATGCGTGGAAATGCCGCTAACCTACTCTAGTTTCGACGATTCACGACACATTTCTGTAACTAAAATTAATAAGTCTGAAATCCTGGACCGCGGAAAAAGAAATGTCGACCAAAGACGTTATCGTGAAAAGGATAAAATATATACGCGAAAAGAACGAAAGTAGATTAAACACTTGTCAGTTCCACGTATCATAATTGTCGTGGAAAGTGTGAAGATTTTAGCCTTCGATCGTCATTATTCCCTTATTATTTTCTCGTATTATTAATAATATTTCACGAATACACAGACGGATTTAACTCATTTACGAGTCCTGTCAAGCATGATAAAACATAAATCGCATCTAATAAATGTCTCTCAGAGGAAGAAGCTATCTTTTGCTTTATTTTCATCGAGATAAGGTCTCTCGCGGAGCCTAAGCGTTTCCAATTTATTCGTCTCGCGAAAGAAAAAAAAAACATCGTAAAATCTGAATATGCATGAAGCTTCGTCGTGCGCTTGTAAACGACCCGCAATATCTCTTCGAGACGGACGCATAAAAATATATCGCAGCGGCGCGCTAATAAATATTTAAGTGCCGATAACGACCGCGAGTTTCAGCGGATTCTGCGGTGATATCAGCGATACCGAAATGGAAAGTCGTATCGAAAAAGCCGGGGAAAAGCGAAACGGTTCGCGAGCTGCCCGAGGCGGTGCGATGTCTCGGCTGTTCGAATCGCGAGGCGGTCGCGTGATTCCGTTTCGTTGTTTTAGTGATACTTGCGCGGTGAAATGGAACACAAGCTCGTTCGAATCGCGGCGACGAAAAACGCGGCAAGAAAAACGCTCTCATGGCGGCAACCGCTAACGAGATCTTGATGGGCACGGCGGTTTTTTTTTGCAGGGAGGATCACCAGACCTATCAGCCCACGGTTCTCTTCAAGAGAACGAAACATCACAAGGGCTCGATATACTGTCTCGCGTGGACACCGGATGGGCAATTAATGGCCACCGGAAGCAACGACAAGACTGTCAAACTGATGCGCTTCAATGCCGACACGTCGAACCTCGAAGGTAAATAGAACCGACGATTATCTTTTTAGATTTAACGAGGCGCGCCACTGGCCAATGAAATCAATGGTTTCTTCGGACAGTCCGCGATTTCTTCTGCAGCTATATCGATTAGAACTTCTTTGCCGGTAATTATTTCATAGAAGAAATAGAAACTCGGCACGCTTGCGAAGTTTCAATGACGAACATGGAATTTTATCGATCATCGTTTCTATTGGAAGCGTGAAAACAGCCGTCGAAATACATAGGATAAATAACAATATTTAGACGAATGTCTTGGGAAATATTAAAATGAAACAGATGGTTCACATGATAGAGTTGCATATTTCTAAATCAAGAATCCAGCTGCCCAAATCAATTTTGGATAGTTTTAGAACTTCTTTGCCGTTAATTATTTCATAGGAGAAATAAAAACTCGGCACGCTTGCGAAGTTTCAATGACAAACATGGAATTTTATCGATCATCGTTTCTATTGGAAGCGTGAAAACAACCGTCAAAATACATAGGATAAATAACAATATTTAGACTAATATCTTTGAAAATATTAAAATAAAACAGATGGTTTACATGATAGAGTTGCATATTTCTAAATCAAGAATCCAGCTGCCCAAATCAATTTTGGATAGTTTTAGAACTTCTTTGCCGTTAATTATTTCATAGGAGAAATAAAAACTCGGCACGCTTGCGAAGTTTCAATGACAAACATGGAATTTTATCGATCATCGTTTCTATTGGAAGCGTGAAAACAACCGTCAAAATACATAGGATAAATAACAATATTTAGACTAATATCTTTGAAAATATTAAAATAAAACAGATGGTTTACATGATAGAGTTGCATATTTCTAAATCAAGAATCCAGCTGCCCAAATCAATTTTGGATAGTTTTATTTGCTAAAAATTTGTATGATGGCGCTATTTTGTTCATTCTTCCATTTAAACGTTGGTCCGTATTCCTGGATACAAATAATGCGGTCGTATGAAGCACAGTCTTTACGCGCGATGTATCAAGCAGGTGGGAAAGTTTCGCGTTATAAAACAGGCCTAAACGAATTTCTACCTTCCCGCTAAATTCAGTCCAGTAACTTACGTAACCATGCGAACACATGAATTTTATAAACCGTTCAGAAACATGCGACTCTTTCAAAATCAGCGATAAAAAGAATCCGACTTTTTGGAGTCTCATAGCGCTTGAAAATCTTCTGAAACTATTCACTTAAAACAATCCAAAATTAATAGAATTGTTGGCTACTTTCTTCCGAAATAAATCGATAGTCCGGACCCGACACATAAAAATGCAGTAAATTCTCCCCAATTTTCCTAAAACTTATAATTTTAGGTAGACAGAGAAATGAGTGAAAGAAAAGAGAATGTGTTAAGCGTGTGGAGATATTGAGTTTGATAAAATCACCTAGAAACGACAGTATTGTTTTTAGTACTACGTTAATATTTCAGAACATGCGCGAGACTTATTCACTCGTGCAGATTAACTTTTGATATAACATATTTAAGACTTGTTTTTCAAAACGTGAAAAGGGTCTTAATTACGATCCTTGTTTAATCCTTAATTTACAAGTTTTCAAACGAACATACTAGATTTGGAATGCAGAAAATTCTCCCTAATTTTCATTTAGCTTGTGAACAAAAATAAACAATTTGGGAAGAGGAAGGCTCGAATAATTGTACCTCCTCTTCCAAAATTGTCCGTTTTCGTTTACAAGCTGCAAGAAAATTAGGAAGAATTTACTGTATTGCGGCAAACTGCCGGCAAACATCCGGGCCAAACAGGATTTCCTTGGAACCGCGTTAATCACATTTAATAACGCCGCGTATCTCCGCGATCTCGCGTAGAATACGAAATTCCGGCACGAAAGAAGACAAAAAAATGGAGACCAGTCATTAGGTCCGAGCCGGACGCCATGTGTTTGCCAGCAACACGCGGTTTATGTAATTGTTGCGCAACGAGAGACCGGCTCTCAAAAAAAGCGAGAACTTTCTCACAAAATGACGCTTTCGTCACGATCCTTGCAGGTCAAGAAGTCGAGCTGACGATGCACGATGGCACGGTGCGCGACCTGTGCTTCCTCGAGGACACCTCGAACAAGTCGAGCCTGTTGATTAGCGGCGGCGCAGGTGACTGCAAGATCTACGTAACCGATTGCGCGACCGGCACACCTTTCCAGGCGTTGAGCGGCCACAGCGGCCACGTGCTCACGTTGTACAATTGGGGAGGCGCGATGTTCGTCAGCGGATCGCAGGACAAGACCGTCAGATTCTGGGACCTCAGAACGAGGGGCTGCGTCAACATGGTCACGCCCGCTACGGTACCTGGCAGCAGGGTTAGTTTAGCTACCTTGTAGGAGTTGTCATGACTATCTAGAAATAGTTTACGCCCGATGGTACCGACCGATTTTTCCAAAACCGAGGCAGGTGAACTTCGGAGTATCCCCTTCGGTTTTTCAATAATTTTTCGACGGTTTATCAATTGAAAGTCTTAGGATTCTCAATGAGCATACTATTGGGTTGGCAACTAAGTAATTGCCGATTTCAGTTACAGACGTCTCTCACTCCCATTTTTATGATATCCGTAAATGTTATATTATAAAATTATTATTATTATTATTATTTTACTCAATGACAGACATTTTTCCCACTTCTTCGTTCCGACAAAATTTCACGACGACTGGAATTAGCATAAACATCCCTATCACGTTGAATGCCACGGGGGTCACCGGTGACCCGCACTTAACACTAAACCTACCAAGCAGTAATACTAACTGGCATGGACTGCTTCACAAAAGTA